CTATCGACTACTTGGTTGAGGTGGAAGGCGCTGGGTTTAGTTATGAGGTTGCTCTCTCTTTTGTTGCTTGAATTTTGCGTGGAGGGGTCAGTTGTCAAGGTATTCCAGAACCTTTGAATTGAACTCTAAATATAGTTACATATCAAAGATATTACATCCTTTCTGGTACAATATACAAGTGTTTCCCCCATTTGGTCACTTACTTTTACTTTGTTTATTAAACTTTATACCATGCAAAAGTTTTCTATTTTTGTATATTCAAATTTATCTACATTTTCTCAGGAATATTTTCTACATTTTGTCTAACACAAGTGGCTGTATTCATTCTTTGTAGTCATTTGCACTACACTGAAAAGAATTTCTAGTTTCCATCTTTTGGGGTCATTTGTTTATCCTTCTTCATTTCAGATTATCCTGAGCGATCTCGTGGATGTCTCAGGAAGGCTTGGGACTTATTCTGCGGTTTGCAGAAGACAGGACCCAAGCTGACCAAGGAGGAGGAGCAAGCCCTGAGGCAGAAGCTGACTGACACGTCTGAGAGGCCCCTGTGGAAGACCATAGTGGACGCCAATGCCATCCTCCTCCTGGCCGTAGTGGTCTTTACTTATAGCTATTTTGCCTGAACTCTGTCTGAACCACGACAATAATTAGTAATTATTAATAATAATTTTATTAATTTTCATTTTATAGCTTATTTTGCAAAAGGAAGAGGAGAAGTTGGTAATTTTATCTAGTGAAATGATTCAAGGACTTTATATTTTACTTTTTTCGTTCCTTCGTATAGTTAAGAAAAAGAAAGTTGATAATTTATAAAACTATGAAGCGATCCTATATGTGCGTAAACTGGGTCTAAATACTTTTTCCAGCTTTACTGAGGTATAATTAGCAAATAGACATTGTACATATTCAAGGCAAACAATGAATTAATTTGATACATCTATACATTGTAAAATGCCTGCAATCCAGTCATTTAACACACCCATAGCCTCCTATAGTTTACTTTTTTTATGTGTGCAATGAGAACAATTAAAATCTACTCTCAGCAAATTTCAAGTACACAGTGCAGAATTATTAATTATAGTCACCATGCTGTAAGTTAATTAGACAGTGAGAACATACTGTTCTTCTGCCTGGAAGTCTGTACCCTTTAGCCAACATCTCCTTGCTGTCCCCACCACTCAGCCCCTGGTGACCACCATCTACTCTCTGCTTCAATGAGCTCAACTTTTCGTTGTAACATTATGCACAATAGCCAAGACATGGAAACAACCTAAGTGTCCTGCCGTGGATGAATGATAAATAAAATGTGGTATATGCATACAATGGGATATTATCCTGCCAAAAATAAAGAAGGAAACCTTGCCATTTACAATAACATGGATGAAGTTGGAGGACATCATGCTAAGTGAAATAAACCGGATACAGAAAGACAAATACTGTAGGATCCCCTCCTATGTGGAAACTTTTTGTTTTAAATAGCTGACCAGGGAGAATGCCCTACATCATACTGGTTTTCTGCAGTTTCCAAAAATTTCCATTTCAAAGGAATACTTCCCCCAACTTTGCCTCACCTATCAACCTCCTCATTTAGACAACAGTGACTTCCTCCAAGTGACTTTCACCTCAGAAATCTCAATGATTTGGAAAAGAAAAATATTTCCTAATAGCTGAGGAGAAGAATGAGCTAGATGTATCTCTTATAAATATGTTTTTAATATGTTAGAAATTATTAGCTTTTG